GAAGACATACATATGGCCACAGGTATATAAAAAGATACTCAATGTCACACTAAACATCAGGAAAATGCAAATCAGTATCAGGATGAGACAGCACCTCACACTTATTAGGATGGCTGTTATAAAAACAAAAAATACAAATGTTGGCGAGGATACGGAGAAAGTGGAATCCTTGTACATTGTTGGGACTGCAAAAATGTTGCAGCTGCTATGGAAAATAGTATGAAGTTTCCTCAAAAAATTGAAAATAGAACTACAGATGCACCTCAACTTATGATGGGATAACGTCTTGATAAACCCATCATGAGTTGAAAAATCAGGAGTCAAAAATACATTTAATACACCTACCCTACTGAACACCATAGCTTGGCCTACCTTGAATGTACTCAGAACACTTACATCAACATAAAGTTTGGCAAAATCATCTAATATAAAACCTATTTTATGATAAAGTGTTGAATATCTCATGTAATTTATTGAGTATGGACTGAAAGTGAAACACGGAATGGTTGTGTGGATACAACCATATATGAGGGATATTTGTATACATATCTCATAATATCTCTTATATCTCTCATTAAGAAATATGTATTTCTTTATCCATTCATTCTATTGTGTCTATACATACATACACAATGGAATAGTATTCAGCCTTAAAAAGGAAGGAAATTCTGCAGGAGCCAACGTGGATGAACTTTGAAGACATTATCTGAGTGAAATCAGTCACAGAAGAACAAATCTGGCACAATTCCACTTACATGAGACATTTAAAATAGCCAAACTCATAGAACCATAGAGTGCGATAGTGGTTTTCAGGAGCTAGGAGGAGAGGAACACAGGAAGTTGTTAACCAATAGGCATAAAGTTTCAGTTATGCAAAATGAATATGTTCTAGAGATCTGTTGCATACCACTGTACCTATACATAAAATTACCATATTTGTACACTTAAAAATTTAGGAGGGTAGATCTCACGTTAAGTATTTCACAACAAATAAAATTTGAAAAAATTTGAAAATTAAAAAAAAATGAAAGCCAGCTAAAGACAACACCAAGTCTTCACCCCAATGTGTGGTTCCAAATCTTGTACTCATAGCATCAATTAGAAGGGGAAGGAAGCAAAGTGGCTAGGATTAGAATATTACTACTATAGCCCAGCAAGTAGTAATGAGAACTTGAACAAGGACAGAAGTGACAAGAAAGAAGGCTGGATTCCAAAGGAAACAGGGAAGTGGTGTTAATAGGATTTGACAACTAAGTATATGTGGCAGATAAGAAAGAGGGTACATCACAAAGAGTGTGGAGTTTTCCCAGAAATGACTCATCTCACAGGACAGCTGGCCAGGGCAGACCAATGAGATGAATGTATGGTCATACACCATCTAAGAGAATCCATTTAGAACAACCTGTTTAATTGAAGAAGAGTGTTATGATAATGAGAATTGCAGTAAAAAGTGTTGTTGGGACAGTCTTGACTACAGAAAAAGCAAAGTTGGTAATAATCTGTGATTTTTTTTTTCTCTAGCACTATTCCTTAGAAAGGATGCTTCAATGAGCATACATGAATAAATCTAACAAATTTAGTAGCTAGAGGACTGTTGGAAGGATACATTAGACTTAATGACATATTGAAAATAAAGAATCACAGTATATTAGACATTGAAAAAGTCTTAGAGATTCCCTAGTTCTATCATTTTATTTTATTTTATTTTATTTTTTTTTGAGACAGAGTCTCACTGTGTTGCCTGGGCTAGAGTGCCGTGGCATCAGCCTAGCTCACAGCAACCTCAAACTCCTGGGCTCAAGCGATCCTCCTGCCTCAGCCTCCTGAGTAGCTGGGATTACAGGCATGCGCCACCATGCCCGGCTAATTTTTTCTGTATATTTTTAGTTGTCCAATTAATTTCTTTCTATTTTTAGTAGAGACGGGGTCTCGCTCTTGCTCAGGCTGGTCTCGAACTCCTGAGCTCAAACAATCCGCCCGCCTCGGCCTCCCAGAGAGCTAGGATTACAGGCGTGAGCCACCGCACTCGGCCTATCATTTTATTTTTTTAAAAAAACTATTTATAGACCATTTCAAACATATACAAAAGTGGAGAAAAATATGAATCCCCATTAATCTATCACCAGTTTGACAATTATCAATTTATGGCCAACCTTGTCTCATCATTGTCCCCATCCTCAGATAACTATTTCATCTCTAAAAGACAAGAATTCTTTTTAAAAGCAAACAATAATAATAAAAATAATGATATCATCGCAATTAAAAAATTACCAATAATTCCTAATGTCATAAAATACTTGATCAGCATTCAACACTTCTCCAATTGTTTCAGAATTTCTTCACTTATGTCTCTAAAGTCTTTTATAATTTATAATTTCCCCTTTCTTCTTTATTTTTCCTGCTATTTTATGGAAAAAATGAGGTCATGTGTCTAATAAAGTTTCCTGTACTCTGGATTTTGCTGAATGCACCCCAATGGTGTCATTTTACATGGTTGTCTATCCCTGGATTTCCTCTAGCCTGGTAGATATACAGGCTTGATCAGATTCAAGTTTAATTATTTGGCAAGAATGCGCCATGGGTAATGGAGGCACACACAGTGGCTGGTCCTTTCGTGTGTGTGTGTGTGTGTGTGTGTGCGCGTGAGAAAACCCCCTTATTTTTTTAAAGATAGGCTAATTGAAGTCTCAGAATGGTTAAGTGATAGAGTCAAGTTGGTGGAAGAATCAAGAAGAAAACACCAGTCTTTTGATTCTCCATCTCTACCTCTTTCATTGTATCATGTTACTGTCAACAAATGCTTGCTGAGTGGCTACAGCATATTGGCACTCCATCAGGCATTGCATAAGATATGGTCCCGCCACTCACAAAATCATCCAAGCCAGAAATCCAGAAGTCACCCTAGGCTTCTCTACCTCTCTTATTTCTACTAAGTCCTGCCGATTTTATCTATTTCACATCTCTCTCATTCGTTCCCTCCTCTTGATCCCCACTGCTCCTGCTTTACTTTAGACATTTATCGTTGCTTTCCTGGACCACTACAATAGTCTCCGTAAGTTCCCCTCCTCTATAGCAGTCTTGCCTTCCTCAGCCACCACTGCCTGTCAACAAAAGATTTTTCCAAGCTTCAAATCTGAATGTGTTATTTTTCTGCTTTAATCCCTTGGTATTATCAATTTCCATTACACAGTCCATGCTCTCCAGGGTGATCTACAGGTTTCTCCATCAGCGGGCTTTGCCTACCTGACCAACCTCACCTGTTACTGCTTCTACTCACTATATTCCAGTCTGTTGAATTATTGAAGTTTTCTGAATGTGCCAGAAAGGATATGTAGTAGTTCAATGTGTGGGCCAATTACACAGACTAGACTTTGATCCCCAGACTCCCCTATTTCCTAGCTATGCAATCCAAGGCATACTTACCATCATTGTGCCTCACTTATCTCACCTGTACAATGGGAATAATCTCAGAGAATCATTTTCTGTGTGTGTGAGAATTGAGTGAAATAGTGCAGGGAAAGAGCCAGCATGTGAGCACTGAGTATTGTTATGTGGTTTCACACATGTTCATATTCTTTGAATCCGTTCCCAAGAATGCTTCCCTCCTACCTTTTGATAACCTAGCAAATTCCTGCTCTTATATAAGTCCCCAGTTCCACTGATCTTTTGCCAGTTAGAATTAAATCTCTCTCATCCATAGCACCTCTGAAGCTTATAGATATTTTGGTTCTTGTACTCTATGGCTATATGCCTGTCTCTCTACATAACTGAAATTTTTAAAGACAAGGACCAGATTTTTCTTGTTTGGCTCCCACAGCCTATAACATAATCTGGCCCAGTGACATGCTCAATAATTCATTTGGTAAATTGAACTAAATTTATGGGGTTGCATGGAATTAAAAGAGCCCCTCCAACTTCCCTTTTTATGAGTCTATATTTTTCAAGCAACTTTTCTGAAATAAAAGATGACTTACCCAAAGAATCCAATGGGATGATTGGCACACAACGTAAAAATGATGTCGATTAATTTTTGGTTTCTCGAGTAGACTTTGCAACTAGAGGAAGAATAAAATGACTAGGCAAGGAGAATATGAAGCTAGATTTCCCTTTGCAAATTAAAAAATTAGTGTTTTAATTTGTCAATCCATTCCTTCTGGGTTTGGTTTTCATGAATCATTTCAATAACAGCCGATCACTCCTGCCAGCTCTAGTCATTTCTTCTCTACTCATAGGAAGAAAATTAAATATGTAAATGAATAGAAAAGAGGTATACAAAAGCCCAAGAAAATAAAATAAGCTGACCTCATAGGCATGACAGGAAGGGACCACATAAATGGACAGTCTAAAAAGATTTATTTTCCAAAACAAAAGATGAAATCTGACTCTCAGTAGCATGATTCTTAAAAGTTCTAACTTTCATACTCAGCATCATGTTTTAGCAAATATGTCTTTTAAAGTCTCACAGATTTAATCTTCTCAATGTCAATTGATGAGTCACTAAAGCATATCTCAGGAGGAAATATAAAATAATTGATATTAAAATACTAATTGTTCATCAGCTCCTTTCTCTGATTTAGTGTCTTTCTTTTTTTAACTAAGCTAATGTAGAATTGTGTTTGACAACAGTGAGTTTTCCTTTCTTTCAACATAGTGAAAACTTGTATAATTATGAAATTTTTAAATGGTTAAATCTTTGGCTATTTATTTTAATTCCAATCCAGTATATTATTATATATATTCGGAACTCAAACTATTCATCTTCATCTAAACCTTCAATTAAATTCCACAATGCAAACCTCTTGGCACTAAAACCACGTTTCATGTTTATTCAACTGAGCCTGCGTCTTGCAGAAGTGTTGAAGTTTAGGGGTTTTTCTGGTAAGAATCCACGTTCTGACATCACCTGGGCCAGGACAGGGATTGGCTGCTGGAAGGCAAAGAAGAGTTTATAGCCAGCAGGGGCAGGCGAATGAGTGAGTGAGAGCAGAGGCAACACTCAATCTGTGCCACTCACTGCCTGAGCCTCCCTCCTCACTCCCGGACTGCCAAAGGGTAAGGTTTAATATGACAACTTCATTATCTTAAAATCAAGACACTCCACGATTCACAGCTCTGGACTTGTCTTTGAATTTTTCATTTAAATATTGATGTTATTGCATTGTGTAGAATGGCTATGGTATGATTTAATACTTGTTTATCATTAAACCAGCACTGCAGGTTCTAGATTCTCTCCAAAAGGCATGTAAATCAGTTCTTAATATCATGCACATGAACTAGAAGATGATGCTTCTTACTTTCTATCTTTGCACGTCATAGATAACTTTGTTTTCTCATTCTGATGCATTCAAGATAATCTGAATGAAATATTATTTTGCAATTGCAGTTCTGCCTAAACATATGCAGATTTCTCCATAAATTATACCCAGTCTATACTTCACTTATATATGTTACCTTTTCAATATGTTATACATTTGGTTTCAAAGTGTTAATATCTATAGCTCTAAAATCAGTACAGAAATATATATATATAGAACTAGAGAAATAAATAATTTTGTTAGTTTATCATATTCTTCCCAATAAAAACTTGTAATTAAATTCTCAAAACTATCTTTCAAGAATGTTTGAATTGTCGTCTGGGTTAGTCGTGGTCACCATAGAGGTCTTTGCTTTTTGGTGAATCACAAAGTAAATAAAATAAGATTTATGTAGGCAGCCAGTTTCTCCCTACATGAAACACTTGGTTGTATTTTTTTTTTAATTCCTGCCTTGTTTTTTCATCATCTAGTTATTTTTATGGTTTGTTGTGAGAAATTTATGTAGTCAAAATTCTTTCTACAGTTCTATTTATTAAGTTTTTAGCTCTTTAAAATATTATAAGTATTCCAAGCTTTTTCATAAAGCTGCAAAACAACCACCTTCCTGTTTGCTGATGGGCTCGGTTCTACAGGTGGCAAAGCTCAAAGCATTGTCAGAGCACCCCAATAGCAATGGAAGCTTCTTAAACAGATGGGCCCCCTTCAAGGGCAAAGCATCCTTATTCCCATGTGGCCATTAAAACTTTTTCTAAGATAGAGAGGACCGTGAGGAAGTGTGTAGGCACCAAAATCAAAAGATCCACCCTGCTACACAAAGAACGTGACTTAGGATCTAACACAGCTTCTCCAGGCCTCAAGCCTTACTCTGTGTAATGTTTATTTTAGTGTCAGACACTCAATAAAGATGCAATAAATCTTGGGTGATGATGACAGAATACAAAATTTACCTGCAGGGTACAACATATGACATGAATCTTATCCATTTTAAATATTACTTTTCAAAGTGTGTTCATGGGGAAATTGCCAACACCATTGCATATTGCTTCCAAAATGTTGCCAAGAAAGTGCCAACAGTTAAATACGCATGTCAATGCAAGTGGGTGTGTGTTAGTAGGCTTTCAGCTGTTTGTTCAATCTCTATTATGATAGAATTTTTAAATAGAATTTTATTAAACGGAGCAAAATAAAAATACAATAGGATTTCACTATCTCTCTTTATTTATGAGGAATCTATGTGGAATTGAGGATCTCTGCATGGCTGTAAACCCCAAGACTGTCAGGAACTAGTCCCACTTTGAGAGTTGCATCTTCAGGGTTCTATAGAACTGAGGTCTCCATCTGTGTCTCTCACCCTGACCCTGGAGAGCCCCTGCTCTGTCCCACCACAGTCTCACACACCAGCAGATGGAAAGCTTGCGTGGACCTGGAGAACGACTGAATTTGAGCAAATTTGCCCCCTCACATCCCAACGTCAAACTCTGAAAAACTCTTCTCATGAAATCACCCTTAGGGGTGTGGCTGTTGGATGCTACAGGCTATGAGAATAGTATTTCATATGTTATGGATCCTCTCTCTCCCCACCCACAAAATGCCAATTACTCCGAGATATTCACAGGAAAATGGCTCCTACCTTCCATTTTAGTCCAATGGAATTAGTTCATGAATTTTTAGTTTAAAACCTATACAGAAGCTGGAAATTACCTGCAGAACCATTGGCATAAAAGTGATCATTTAAGTGATTTGATTTCTCCTTAGTTTTTAATTATAAAAAAACAGGGCAAGTACCCACACCAACAATTCAATTCACTTAGTGGACTCTCCTAGGATATGGGGAGACGCCCCTCACCCCAATGTGAAGCGCTCTAAGTACTCAAAGTCTCTTGCAGTGATGAAATGGTCTTCCAATGACAAATCCCAGAATATAGGTTAAAACCAAATATGGAACTCAAGATTATTCAAACATATGATAAAGTCAGTCTATACTACTTAAATGGAAGGAATAATTTGAAAACAAAATGAGAAATTTGGTTTTAAGTAGTCAAAATGATAATTAGACAGAAATGAAAACGAATTAAATACTTTATCTTTCAGTATGTGCAAAAGAGCTATGCTCTTAGTTTTAATGTTTATTGACCTTACCACTTCATTAATTCCAGAAGCAATCACCAAAATGAAGACTGCTTTAATTTTGCTCAGCATTTTGGGAATGGCCTGTGCTTTCTCAGTAAGTTCTTTATTTAAAATCTACAGTTATTTCCACTTTTGTCTTTTTATGTAAAAGAAAGGATATATCATAATTAAATGTTGTTTTAAACAGATGAAAAATTTGCATCGAAGAGTCAAACTAGAGGATTCTGAAGAAAATGGGGTAATTAATTTTTGCATACTTCCTTGGCCTGGTCCTACTTACTCTAGATTTACTGTACATTAAAAATGAATATATCATTGTTTTGTTTATGCAGGTCTTTAAGTACAGGCCACGATATTATCTCTACAAGCATGCCTACTTTCATCCTGCTCTGAAACGATTTCCAGTTCAGGTAAGTATAAAAATTAACTTTCCTTCAGTTTAATGTCCATTTTAATTTAAAAGGGATCAAATTTAACTACAAAACAACTAAATACAACTTTTACTGACATTCAGCCAGGAAGATTGCTTACTACAAAAAAGTTTGTTTTTCATATAATAAAAGAAGGTTTATTTCTAAGTTCTCTTTTAAAGCAGAAATCTACATAGAGTAAAATCATTTGGGTCCAGTCCAGCACGATCTAATAAAAACAAACACCTTGGCACATTGAGTTCAAGGGTTTTAGCTAACCTTCTGAGAAAAAGAGGGCAGTTTTATCAGTTGTTGACAATTAAGTCAGTGACAAGGGCACTAATTGTCATATTACAGTTGATTCAATACTGTCATACAGCTGTTTTACATTCAACACTTCAGAGTCTTCTAATTAGTAGGAGAAAAAATTGACTTCATAAACATCAGAGACCATTAAAAAAAACATTGGTAATTGTTTTTTACCAATTAATTGGTACTTGCTGAAGATTTTCTAAACCTTTGACCTGTGCGGGTCACTAGAGCAATATGTCATACCTTAGAGCATAATTATAATGGAAGTGCGGCCCAAGAACTACAAAGGAAAGAGAAAAATCCACAAAGTGTACTAACAAGCTTGTGAGAAAAACAAACCACCCCTAAAATTTGTAAACAAAAAAGAAAAATAACTAACACTAAAAATAAGAGTTTCCATTTTGACTGAGTTACCTGTGAAGAGTCCTTTGAGAACTGGAGGGCGGGGTGTTGATTTTAAATACACGACAGACCAGAATGGCACTGTTTTTAGTACTGTACAGTTTGGGTTCGGGACGCCAATTATGCACCCTTTGACCCAGGACTCCTGGGACACCAAAAGCCGTCGGGATGCTGAAAACGATGCCTCAGCACAGTGGCTTGGCATCGCATCTCGCCATATGCTGGGCTAACCCCGCTCCAACTCACACAATGGTAGGAAACGATCATCTCAAAGTATTTCTAGCACCGTCATAATTATGGGGAATTTGTGTGGCCACAGAAATATGAGCATGAATGATACAAGAATTGTGGGTTTTCAGAATTGTCTTTCATTCTCTGGTTCACCTCAGCCCATAAATAAACAGTGCTCATTTGAAAGTTTGTTCTGCTCTCTTTTTTGTACGAAATGGAAATGATTATAAATTCAAGTTTCTGACTAGCTCCTTAACTTTTCTGAAATATCAGATATTTAGAGATAGTCATTCCCACCTAGATATTTTTACAGATGTAGATGTGTAGTCCAATTAAAATGTTCATATTGACACAATATTAGAAATTACATTTTTCAATATTGATAGACCTAAAGTTCATAGATCAAGTTGATCTTTAATATACAAATTACACACAGATAGGCCCATCTCAACTAATGTAGAATTTATAAGAAAGGATAGTTGGTTTTTGTTTTGTTTTATTGAGACAGTGTCTCACTCTGTTGCCCCAGCCAGAGAACAGTGGCATCAGCCTAGCTCACAGCAACCTCAAACTCCTGGCCTCAAGCAATCCTCCTGCCTCAGCCTCCCAAAGTGCTAAGATTTCAGGAGTGAGCCACCGTGCCTGGCTTAAGATAGTTGTTTTAAAATAAAATTCAGGAAAATGTATCTCCCAATCAAACTGTCTGACCTAGTATTTATGATGTATTCTCCTACTTTACAAAGTTTGATTTTTCTTAAGTATATTAAGTAAGGTATTTAGTGGCCAAATTTTCAACCCCAAATGCGTTAAGCTGGATTGGCTTTGAAAGTCATGTTTTATTCAAACAAATCTGTGTCTGTATACAATCACTTTTTTTATTATTATTTCAGGGTATTATGAGGGTACGAACATTTTATGTCTTTGCCTCACCCAAACGAGGGTTAGAGGCATGCCCTTCCCCTGTATGATACCAACTTGTAGGAAATATTTTATATGGATTTCAGAGCTATCAGCAGTCTACTATAGCTTATCTATCTGCTAGGCTTAGAAACAAAAATATAAATAAGCCCAACATCCTAAGCTTCTTTAATTGAGAAAATTATTTTTTTATGATTCGAATGATATTTGATTAGTGTATGAACTCTTAGGGAGCAAGAATTTCATCTTATATTTCTTCTATCAGATTCATCTCAGCTATAATACAAGAGTTTTGAGTTTGCAGAATTGTCTTCCATTTCAGAAATCTTTCATGTATCTATATATATGACAAATTGGTAATAAGTTGTATATGCAGAAAAGGGGAAAAAAAGGAAATGTCATGGCTTCAAGCCATTTCGTACAGCTTTTAAATTGCTCTCACTGCAGACACTAATTGAAGACCACCGTGGCTGAGTTAGGGTAAAGAAGCAGGTAAAATGACTAGAACACCCCCCTGAGAAAAACAGCTCTGATTGCATACATATGCTGTCCTCTATATTTAATTTAACTACAAATAGAAAGAGTTCGAATATAATATCCTGCTTTATTCACCCTCTCGGACAGGGAAGGCACAACCATTAAGGTCATGGCAATGAAGAACAGGTCTAATTATTCTCTTTTCCACCCAGAGTTATTCTTGGCTCAAGGGGACAAGCATTCCCTTCCCCTGGGTGAATGACGTGGTCATCTGCAAAATCAGGCCAGCAGGGACGGCTCTGAATGGAACTGGGACACATCTCATTTGTAACCCAGAGGTTAAAGGCCCTTCGGCAGCTGTATTTTCTAAATGCAAGCTACTTAACTGTGTCATCAGAATCAAAGCTAAAATTTGAAATTTGCAGAGAAGAATATGGCAGAATCTTAAGTTACGTATCCATTTGGACACCTGGTGTCATTAGGGTGGCTGCAGAAAAGGAAGGAAAATTCAATTGAAGTCATCCCTGGGAGAGAGAGGAACAATCCCCCCTCCCACCATTAAGGCTCTGACAAGCAGATGTTTAGATTTATAGTTCCTTTCAAAAAACAGCAAAGCTCATTAACTTATAATTATACTTTTATAGACAGAATGTTTGGATTAATTCATTCAATACTGTGCTCTTTAGAGAGAGATGGTACTCTATAAAAATCTCCTAAATGAAAAAATTTTTCTCATATATAACCTTTGTCTCACATATATAAATTAACCTCGTTTTGGGGATTAACTTTAATCAGATTGAAAGATACTAAAAATTATATGCAAACTTAATTTCTTTACATCAAATTTTAATTTAAATTCACCAGGAGAGTTCATCATTTCAGAGAATCATCCAGTAATAACTTATATTTTATAGTAAGCTGAATCTCATTTCACTTGTCTTTTTTTTTTTAATTTCAGCATATTATGGGGGTACAGATGTTTAGGTTACGTATGTTGCCACTTAAGTCTTAAAAAGAAAAGAAAAGAACGTGATCTGTCTTAGCCCAAGATCTGCCTTGAACTGGCTGGAAAAGTTACAGCTTTTGGGGGCTTCTGATTCATTCTCCATAAAATTAAAAGGTCAGATCAGATAATTGCCTTGTTCTTTCAGAGTTAAACAAGTCTGTGATTCATTGGTCTAGTTTCTACATACGAAACATTTCAACATATTGTCAATGCTTTGGGAGTTGACAATGAGGTATCCCAATTTATATCTTGATCATTGTAAAATGCTACTTCTTCTCTAACTTCATTTCATATATGCCCCATCTCCTCCTGTCTTTCTCAGAGCAGTATGAGACCTGTTCTAAGTAAATAAGTCCATCAAGTTGGTAATACTAACACTAATACTTACACCCGTTCTAAGTAAACCGATCAATCAAGTTGGAAAGTATTTGTGTGTATTTTATCTTATTTCAACCAGCAGGAAATTTTAATTGCTGTTGCATATATATGTATACATATTTATTATTTTTAGGGCAGTAGTGACTCATCTGAAGAAAATGAAGATGGTGATAGTTCAGAAGAGGAGGAGGAAGAAGAGGTAAGGAACACTGCAGTCTTTTCATAACAAACAAGACAGCACAAAAAACAACTAGGAAACTAGTCTACTGTAGTCTGAACTCAGCAAATAGCCATCGCTGTCTTACCAGCTGCCCACAGTCTTCTATTTTGGATAAGTAGAATGTTATTTAAATTAGGATGAATTAAAATGACCTGTTTAAAACGCTATTGCAGTTTGGGGTTAAAGTTACCTATAAATGGTGCCCCTAAACAAAAATGTCTCCATTTTAAGCGAAAGTAGTATAAAATCTGATAAAAAGCAACAGAGAGTATTATTTATATTTAGGCAGATAGAACATGATGCTAGAAGACAAATAAATAGTAATTCTAAACTCAGTGCAATATTTGTTTTAAGGACTAAACTTTAAAAAAATTCAATTTACTAAGTGGGTAATATATAAAAGCTGATTTATATTCTCTATAGTATTATTGAGATTTACCTGTCTTTTATAATCTACAGAGTAGAGTTGTTCTTTTTAATAGGAATTTCATGGATCTTTTTGCATAGTAACAAAAGTCAGGTTTTTATAGAACTGAAAATACTCAAGATGTATAAATATCTTCCTGTAGAATTCTACAAATTAGTGTAATTCCTGGCTAAGATTCATCTACATATCTTGGGAATGTTTGTAGCTGACACTGTTGCCTAAGGAAACATACCAATTACGATGCATTTTCCTGGATCGTCAATTATAGATTGGTTGGGAACTGGTTGGGAACCTTCTAAATTCAGGTATTCTTAGAAGCTATTTATGAATGAACAATGACAGTCAAAAATGGATCATGGATAAACATCAGCTATACTGAAAAGAAAATGGTGTGGCCACTTAAAAGCTGACAAATCATTGGTTTGGGTTTTTTTTTTTTAACCGTAAAACTAACATTTCCCGTATCATAATTTATTCGAATGGCTTGAAGGAAGGCCTTACAAGAATGTCAAGCCACTACCAGTACAAAAAAAAAAAAAAAAATGCCACCTACTAAATTCCATGGAATTTTGTCTGGAGTTCTACATAACAATCTTACACAAGAACTAAGCTAGAGTTATCCATTTAACTATAGCTATTTGCTGTACAGCGATTGTAAAGTTGCCTTGCCAACTAGATCTCCCAATTAGACTGCATATAGTGATTCTTCATTTGTTGTGGCGGTGGTGTGTGGTTGAGGATAGAGGAAGATTATGACTCCTTTGGGGCTCTGAAGAAATCACACAAACCCAAAATTTTGTCAACAATCTCTGAACATTTATGGTCCTCCTAGAACTTATCTGCAAACACCTCATGACCCAAGGCACCATAGGTTAAAATCCCTGCTTTTGGGGAAGAGCAGTGCTGTACCCCTTTTTGTATCTCCTCATGCTGCCTAGCATAATTTTTCACACATATATGGTGTCCAGTGAATATTTTGTTGGTTTGGTTTTGAAACATCAGAGGAATAAAAAATACTCCAAAGATCATTCATTAAAAGTGATAATGGAAAAGTGGATGAATAAAACTGGGAATCTTCCATCCTGAAGACATTCTGAAACTTCTTTTTTCCCCATTTCTTCTCCAAAATTTTGTTAGCAATTCAGGTTAAACACACAGTTCCCAGGAATTGTATTCACACAGGGAAGGTATCTAGGTGTATTTTCTCTTTGGTGATCGTACATTTTTTTTTCCACTCCTAAGCCATTTAGCCTCACTTTAAAAAAAAAAATTTTTATCAAAATATACATAATAAAATTATAAGTATGCAGCTCATTGAAATTTCAGAAATGGAACACACATGTGAAACTAGCACTCATATCAAAAAGCAGCATGTGCCTTGTGCTTCATTCCATTCATTAAACATCCCCCACCAATGGCAACTGCTGTTTTGACTCCTGATAGATTACTTTGGTCTGTTTTTATATATTATAAATGTGGGCTCATACAGCATGGACTCTTTTGCATGTGGCTTCTTTGCTCTCAACTTTCGAGATTCATCCACATTGTTCTATAGCGGTAGATTGCTCATTCTCGTTGTGGATATTTCACTATGTGAATGTACCACAATGTATTACACTTCTTTTGATGGGCATTTGAGTAGTTTCCAAGTTTGAGCTATTACAAAGTGTTGCTATGAACATTTTAGAACTTCTTCTGGTGAATATACAGATTTATTTCTGGAGGCCATTTTACCTAAAAGTGAAATTTCTAAGTCAAAACATACTAAGGTTTATATATATTCAACCTTAGTAGATGCAACCAACTTTCCAAAGCAGATGTACTAATGTGAATCCCACTGTCAGTGATGAGGGTTCCAGTTGCTCCATATTCTCACCAACACTTGTTTCTTTCAGTTATTTTAGCCATTCTAGTGAATTAATCATATCTTTTTAAGCATAAATTAATGCTATTTCTTTCTATCCAATAAGATATTTGAAGCCTAATGCCCATTGACAAATTGACTTATTTTCCTTTTAAATTCGTGTGCAGCAGAACATTCTTAAATAAAGTATCTGGGAAAAGAAAGGATATTGAAGGAGAAAATGTAGAAATTGAGATACTGGGCCTTTAGCTGTGACCCTGCCACCAATGAGCTGCTATCTTCTTACCTCATATGCATCATTTATCTCATTAGACCTCAGATTTTTCACCTGTGAAATGAAGGTACAGGATCCAACTAGTACATTCTCCTTCTCTAAGGATCTTCCCAAGGATGCCAAAATTAATTTCTTCTTCTACCCCTGAAAGGTTGAATCTGTTGGAATAAACAAGAAAAAATAAATAGTATGGGGTTGTGAGGTAGTTGACACAATTAGCTTGGAGACTGTTTATAGATGTACTTTGGTAGTACCAAGGCCCTTCAATGAAACAGCAGAATTTTCAATTATGATGAAACAAATTCTGCTTTAGTCACTTTGTTTTAAGAACAAGGCAGGCTAAGTCTAGGTTTTCTTTTTTTGTTTATTTTGAAGTCTTAAAGTTATCCTAATATCACAATCTCTTTAAAGAATATATATACTGGGCCAGGCATGGTGGCTCACGCCTGTAATCCTAGCACTCTGGGAGGCCGAGGCGGGCGGATTGTTTGAGCTCAGGAGTTCGAAACCAGCCTGAGCAAGAGCGAGACCCCGTCTCTACTAAAAATAGAAAGAAATTAATTGGACAACTAAAAATATACAGAAAAAATTAGCTGGGCATGGTGGCGCATGCCTGTAGTCCCAGCTACTCAGGAGGCTGAGGCAGAAGGATTGCTTGAGCCCAGGAGTGTGAGGTTGCTGTGAGCTAGGCTGACGCCATGGCACTCTAGCCCAGGCAAAAGAGTGAGACTCTGTCTCAAAAAAAAAAAAAAAAAAAAGAATATATATATACTGAAATGAATTCAATTTTTCAGTACTTGTTTAAAGTAAATACCATTCTATATATATGAAATCCTGACATTTATTATTAGCTATGAATTACATTAAGAGTTTAGCTCAATTAACAATTGCCCAACAACATGGATTAAAGGTAAAAGAATGAAGTGTTCGAGATTATAATAAGCAATCATTTGAAGAGCATTAATTGTTTTAAACATCTTCATGCAATAACATATCACTAAGAATTTCTTGCAGCGTTTAGCTTCGTCTTGGTACAGGAAAATTGATGGTGTGTCAAATGCCTGAAACAAAAATTTTTTGAGCTGCTAAAATAGAAAGCAGAGATATCTAACACACACTGTGGTGTGGTGAGTAGCATTAAATAACTTTGAGTTGAATTCTTAGAAGTGAGAAGAGCAAATGGCATCGGGGAGGCAGAATTGTCAACTGTGGGTTATGAGCTGACTGAGAAATACAAAGTTTTTCCAAATAACAGACTTCCAACAAATGGTTCCCAACTCCAACAACTCCTGAGCTGTCTTCCAGCTAAACTGATTTTCCTTGCTACGGACATTTTCACCAGGAGGCTTCAAATGAAGAAGAAAACAACGAAAATTCTGATGAAAACGAAGATGAAGACTCTGAGGCTGACAACACCACGCTTTCCGCTGTCACACCTGACTACGGAGAGGTCACACCTGGGACAGGGTTAGCTGCGATCCAGCTGCCCAAGAAGGTAATGATGGAATTATTCCTCCAGAATGGAACTATTACCATGCACACCATGGTATGTTAAATTCGTTTTCCCTTCTTTACTGAAGTCTAAGGTTATCCCAACACTATACACATAATATTTTATGATGTCTTCGTTAACTCATCGAAAAAGTGAGAGTAAATACAATTTCACTCTTTACAAATATGGAAAGATCTTCTCCCAGGCTCTTTCCACGTTATTATACTGACTTATTACATTATAACAGAAGACTAAGGTCATCTAGGAGTAGACAAAAGGTCCTAAGAGAGACCATTGCATTCCAGGGAAAAGCAGGACAGAGAAAGTGAGTAGCAAAGCTCTGGGAAGAATCTCCCCCGGGAAAGGCTTAGCGAGCACGTTTTCCCCATCAAAACCCACGAGGAAGGTGCTTACTCTGAAGGTTCGAGGCCCTCCCCGATCCTTCTGTGAGTTAAACTGACTCCAGTTCAAAACGACACCTGCAACCAGGCTGTGTTGGATGCAGTGATGACTTTCAGTTTTACATTTTTCATACCTAGATTTGTGTTCTTTCAAACCTTTCCGTGCAGGCTGGGGATTCGCGAAGCAAAGCTACAAAAAAGAAAGAAAGTGATGAAGAAGAAGAGGAGGAGGAGGAGGAGGAAGAAAACGAAGAAAACGAAGCAGAGGTGGATGCAAACGAGCAAGGCGTTAACGGCACCAGCTCCAACAGCACAGAGACCGAAAACGGCAACGGCAGCAGCGGGGGCGACGACGGGGAAGAAAGTGTCACCGGAGCCAGCCAAGAAGGAGGCACCACCTCCCCAAATGCTGGGTTCTGGCCCACAGCCCCGCCCCCGGAGGTCTACGGGACCAGCTCGCCACCGTCTGGGAGAAGCACGGCCGCGGCGTACGACGCGGAGTACGAGCAAACGGGCACCAGCGAGTACGACAGCGGGTACGAAGTCTACGACAGCGAGCACGGGGGACCTCGCGGGGACACTTACCGAGCCTACGAGGGGGAGGACGGCCACTACAAAGGGCAAGGCTACGACGGCTACTACGACGGCCAGGATTACTACTACCACCAGTGAGGCCCGCCCGGCACGAGCGCGGCCTGTCTGGCGTTGCATGCATGCAGCTGCCGTTTCCAAAGTGGAACTCAGGAAGGTGCAATGAGACAGACGTGCATATTACAACGTGGCACGGTGCAGCCGTCCCACGGTGATTTCTGTAATCGCTTCTGCAAGTCACGGGCTTCGCGCTGCTCTTCCCTGGTGTGTTACGGAAAGGTCGTTGTGAGTCAGGGCCGTGGATCGAGCGGCCCACCCATCCGTGAGATCGAATTCTATGGACTGTTTGCAAGCTGAGCTCTATCAATAGTATTTTTAACGTTTGCACTATTGCTAACTGCAGAAACATGCTCTTTGTGCAAGAACTGCTTCTAAGAAGAAATGCATTGACACGAAGGACACTGTATACGATAAATGTGCAGTTTCTTCATCGCACTACCTACTCGACACTGTATGTTAGATTTAATGATCTTCCTCATGTATTTTTATGTGAGCCGTATGTATATTCTATCTATGAGTTTTATCGGAAATAAAAATGCAATCCTTCAAACGTGTTATAATGAAAAAGAAAAGTGAGAAGTTCAAAATGGGAAAAAGTGAAACAAATGCGAGACAATTCAGCTGAAAGAGAAAAGCTTATTTCCCCTATGGTTAAAAACTCAGAGGAACTGTGACATTTTCTCGTGGATGAATCAACACAACCGTGCTTGAGGCAGAGTCAGCCATACAGGGGAATGAATGGCTTTTATTAGAGTTGCCAGACGTAACCAATATAAATAGAGAATGCCTGTTAAATTTGAATTTCAGATAAACCAGGAATAATTTCCGGTACGAGTATGTCCCATGCAATATCTGGCCTCTGTGAAATATTTGGGACATATTTATAGTAAATAAATGATTCACTATTTATCTGATATTCAACTTTAACTGGGTGTCCTGTGTTTTATCTGGACACTCCACTCCCACTTGATGTGATTTTAGGTGGGGCAGGAGGCGGAATGGGGTAGAAAACTATTCTACACAAATATACACACACAAAAGAGGGTTGATACACAAAGTTTTTTTTTTTTTTTTTCCCCTTTTTTTTTTTTTTTTTTATTTATATTTTTTTAATTTCACAATATTACGGGGGTACAACTGTCTAGGTTACATATGTTGCCTTTGCCCCACCCGAGTCAGACCTACAAGTGGATACACAAAGTCTTAACAGCAATTTACACCTTTAATGTAAACCTGAAAGCAATTTCGAATGGGAGTAATGGAGGAAAGTAGATAGTGGGAAGGAGCAAGAAGAGCAAACATCCATTCATGCTTTTATTTATTCATTGACAAGATGCACTGAACATCCACTACAGAGTGGGACCATGTTTAGACACTGAGCATATGAAAATGAAGCCCCCTGCCCTCCGCGTGCGTGTAGTCTGATAGCTACCAGGTGTAAGGCGTTACACGCATCATGACACTCACTGTCCCCAACTTTTCATTTTGAAAAATATCAAGGCTGCAGAAAAGTTGGAAGATTAGTCCATGAGCACCGTAATCATTCCTTTCACCTAGATTCACCAGTGGTTATTGGTTTGCCATTTTTAGGTTATCTTCTATTTCTGTGTCCCTCTCCTCATAAATATTAACATATGCTTCTTTGCCAAAGGAATGAAGAGGAGGTTGCAGCATCATGACATCATGATGCGTCACCATTTAGTACAAGAACAAAAAATTCTCCTACGTAGCCATGATACTGTTACCATTCTCAAAAAATTTAAATAGATACAATAATATTTTCAAATATACAATCCCATTTAAAAAAATAAATAAATGAAAAGAAAGCAAATATACAGTCCGTATTCAAATTTTCCCAATTATCCCAATAGTGTCCTTCATTATTAACTCGTTTAACTCTCGCAAAACTCTATCAGGTAGGTGTGATTAACACCCTCGACTTTATTGATGGAGGGATTGGGGTGCGCAGATATCGAAGCACTAGGGCTGGGGTTGGAGCAAAGGCAGACTGGCTTTAGGACCTGGAATCTTTAGCATTATGCAACATTCGTTTGTGTAGATTCATCAGGAATGCATGGGCAGGAAATTGCTAATGATGGGAACATTGCTAAAAAAACTGAGCTTTGTCCTATATCACAATTCCCTTAGAACAAGCCATGTTTTATGACTCGAACCCTAAAGAATATTTTCAAATCCACGATATTCGCCCTTTTTTTTTTTTTTTGAGACAGAATCTTGCTCTGTTGCCCAGGATAGAGTTCCATGGCGTCAGCCTAGCTCACAGCAACCTCAAACTCCTGGGCTCAAGAGATCCTCCTGCCTCAGCCTCCGGAGTAGCTGGGACTACAAGCAAGCTCCACCATGCCCGGCTCATTTTTTTTCTATTTTTAGTAGAGACGGGGTCTCACTCTTGCTCAGGCTGATCTCGAACTCCTGAGCTCAAGCGATCCTCCCGCCTTGGCCTCCCAGAGTGCTAGGATGACAGGTGTGAGCTACCATGCCTGGCTCAGAATCTTCTCATATTTTGTGTATATCTTTCTATATAGGCAGCCTGGCATTGTGCAAAGCACATAAGCTCTGAAGCTAGACAGGCTTGAATAATGGTGTTATCCTCACCCTTGCAGCTCTACACTGCTTAATAAAGTAACGGCAATGGCCAACTCAGCCTTATCCCCAACCTCTAACCAATTAGATCAGATTCTGCCTGCCAATTACCAACATCCAGACTGTCTTTTTCTAGAATGAGACAGAGACTGTGAGTTTTGGCTTTAAAAAAAACCTCACCCCATTTTCCTTCCCGGAGCCTCACCCCCCACAAAGCCTATCCTCTCTGTGTTGAAACAGATTTCCTTCTTGACAGTAGAATTTCCACTCATACTGAGTCCTTAGTCTTAGGGTCTTTTTGGTTGATGTTCTATTTCACACTTTTAAGCTAGTAGGAAGCCCAATCGCCTGACTTATCATGCTTGCTGTTAGCTCAGCTAGTTTTGAGTAACTTGTTTGGAGCCCATCAAATATTTCAAGTCCTGAGTCACCATTTGGGAAGCCCAGCCTGTTCTGCTGGAGAGAGGTCACGTGGAGAGGCTCCCAGACACCAGTGAATGTACAGCCCAGTCAAGTTTTTGAATGATTCCTGCGCCCACCCCCTTCTGATTGGAGTCACATGACAGATCCCAAGGGAGAACCATGAAACGGAGCCAAGTCAACACAGAGAACCTTGAGAGAAAATAATAAATTAGCGTTTCCAACTACTACGTTGTGCAGTGTTGTGTTATATAGCAATAAATCACTGGAACAGGAACTAACGAGCATGGAGAAAATCTGGGTTTGTGAGAATGAAGAAAGTCATGAAAGAAGAGCTAAAATAAAATGATAACGCAATACAGGTAAACGTGAAGTTAAAAATTAAAAACTGAGAAGACTAAATATGACCTAATTTGGTAAAAAATACTAATACATGTCCAATACAATGAATAACTAGCTGGTAAATGTCCTCATGCTCAGTCTCCTAAGAGGAGATTCTTGATCCTGAAAAACAAAACGGCAACCTTTGAAAAAGACTATTTTGAGAAGGAGAGATATTTTCCCCTTGAGGTCACGTGACAAAGTTTTGCAGTCACTTCCAGGAATGCCACCAAGTCCCGAAGGAAAGAGCTGGTATCATTATAATTATATTTTAACTACATCCTCTGAGTGATATTTTAAGGTGTAATAAGACATCTTTCTAATATAAAAATAAAAGCAAATTATATTGACATATCTTCTCTTGCTGGTAATAGCTGAATGGATAAACAAATAGCTCAGAGAAACGAACACAGCTTAGCTTCATGCCATTCCATGAGCCTCCACGGTCCTGTATCTGGCTGAAATTTTTATGGGCTTCTGTTGAAATTCCCAACCATTGAGAGAAAAAATAATAATAACTAAAAATAAAAATAATTTCGGGAAAATGGGAAAGTTGGTTGTAAGTGAGAAAAAGTGACTTTTTTCTAGCTTGGGGCAAATACTTCATGATTAGGAATGAATATCCTCATGAATGAATATATTTAAAACCAAAACATTTTCTTCTGCTAAAAACAGGGCAAGACTGGCCAGCATGCTCTGTTTTGGAGATCAATGGGAAATAAATACTTCCGTAAAATTCCTAAAGCCTTGACAAATCTAAGCATTTGTATGATAAAGAGCAGATTGCAGAAGGGCCCTTCTGTTCTATTCGCAACACTTTAGAGATTTTCCCCTCTGATTCTGGGGGAGAAATACTATTTATATGGTGTTTATGTAAATGAGAAAATAGAGAGTAATTTCAGTTAGTTAGAACATACGGAAAAAATACATGGTATAAGTTCACCTCTGTCTAAGATGACAGCAGAGAGATGCGTTACCTTGATAGTGTAAGAACAAGTTAAGGACCAAGATCACAGAGGGATAAAAGATCTCCTACCATACTAAGTTTTAAAACATGTATATCAAAGCAATAGACAAGAAAATAAACCAAAAAACCTTACTCCTGGATAAGGGTACAATACCTGAAACTAAAAGTAGAGGTTCCCAGTTGGCTAACATTTTATATGGTTGTTTTTGAATGATTCCTGCACTCACCCCTCAAAGAAGAGGTAGGAAATGAAACATGTTTCATGCGCAACTTTAATCTATAATCTCTTTGGGGAGCAACTCTGCATGTCAGCCCAGCCCAGCAAAGCCAGGCAGGGTGCGTCATCGGTAGAGTTGTCTATTCTCACGAATCTTGAACCAGGAACCAGAAGAAAGCTCGAGTCCATTTCTTGCCTTTCTTTATTGCTTCCTAGTTTTGTTTTATTTTGTTTTGTTTTCCAGTTAAACAGAGACAGTATGGGGATAAATAGCCTTTCTTTTTACAGAACCCTGGTTTTAACTTTGGTTATTGTTTCCTGAGAAATACTATGGCAAAAGTCTTTATTATACAAAAACATTTAAGAAACTTACGTTGAGTTTTTGAAGTTCAAGCTCAACACGGGGGCAAGTTTCAAGAAGGGAGAAGTAAA